TTCCTGCATTTGGAATTTGGGAGTCTTACAGCAAGAAGAATAGAGAGAACAATTTAAGGATAAGGAAAAGGGAGAGGTTGTCCAGCTAAGTGTGGTAAATTAATCAACTTTTCGATATTCTCTTACCCTGAACCTGTTATTAACTGCAGCAAATAAATGAAGAAAGCTACAAATTCATAAGGACAAAGGAATATGATGGAAATTAAAGGAGTTGGTTGATCATCTGTACACTGGGCTGGTAATGAATCCAAACTACCTATGCTTTCCACGATACACAGAAACCATGGTCTGTGAAAAAATGAAGAGCAAGTAGTTCCACTGCAGAGAACTCAGACAGCAAGTATGATGAACAGAGCTGAAAACAGAGGAGTAAAGTTTGCTGATTGAGACTAGGACCCCAGTCTCTTCCTAGATCTGTTTTCAGAATAACAGCACCCATGAGGTATACACAAGCAAAAAAGAGACAAATTCCTCCCAGGAGAAACTGAATGGCTCTCAGGACGGGGTGGAGGAAACACCTACAATTTTGGTTTTGTGGGTTTTTTTTTTGGTACTGGGATCAAACTTGGGTCCTTGCGCTTGCGCAGCAGGTGGTGAACCCACTGAGCTAAATCCCCCACCCAGCAAATTCTTTAAAAAGAGACAAAAAGGGGGAAAAGTTAAAAATCAAGGAAACAAAAAGAAGGAAAATTTTTTAGAGTCTTGATTTAGAAGTGCCAACACCCAACTAACCAGTTCCAGGGAAAATAATACAACAAACAAAACAGAAAAAATAGAGTGAAGGAAATTATCAAAGAAATAATGCAAGAAAATAATCTAAAACTAAAGAATGTAAATTTCCAAGCTGAGTCAGTCCAATCCTCAAAATAACAAATAAAATTTAAAAAAAGATTCATACCAAGGTTCATACCATATGGCAAGACTTCAGAGGACTGGTGATTAAAAAATCCTAAAAGTTTCCACATTTAAAAAAACATAAAATGATAAGGAATTAGAAAAAGATATGACTTTTTCAACAGCAACATTAGAACATAGTTGACTATGGATTAGTCTCACGATGCTACTTTTTTCTCAGGTTCTTTCTCGGGTTTTTCCCTCTCTCCACATTTCTCCCTCTTTGTCCAAGGAGTTGTGTTATTCTGAAGCTGTTGGCAGCTACTCTTTGACTAGGAAGAAAACCAGACTTAGAGAGAAGTAAACGAAACGGACATTGCAGAAGGCAGAATGAAGAAACAGAAAGAGCCAGGATCTCAGTTGACAGTGCTGAGTTAATCAAACCACCCCTAAAGCCCTTCCTCCTTTTCCATGTTCCATTGCATGTGCCAGGTAGCTGCTCCGTGGCCATTTATGTGCTGGCTTTAAAAATCACTAGGACGTTTCCTTCTTGTTTAAGCAGTCACAGGCCTGTCCACTTTCAAGGAGAGGATATGGAGACCAGCTCCTCCCCTTGAGAAACAAAGCTACTAAGTAGAACTTGAGGCCCATTTACAGGCTTCCCTGATCTAGGATATGTGCTTTTTGTACCACACAGTCATTCCTAACCAGTGGGCAGAACACTCAGAGTTATTTCAAAGGGCTCAGGAAACCATGTGTATACAAAGCATTTTATACAGCTTGAAGAAATATGTGCCTTGTATACACCAATAAGTGTACCAAGTGTAAGTTCTGTTCTTGTGATTAATAAGATGCAAACTTGGGAGAAATTTTTGCTGTAAAGTAGTATTTTTTGATATTATTTATGTTTTCTTGACCATGGATTCAAAAAGTACAACTAACACATACAGTATTTTTTATGTCTAAAAACGCTAAGTGAAACAAATCAGACACAGGTTAAATATCACATGGCTTCTCTTATATGAGAAACCCAAAGTATAAATAATTTAAGGAGTGAAATAAAAGATGACAGGAAATAAGGAAGTTGACATTATGCAGCTGGAGAGGAGATCTAGGAATGCAGGTGAGAAGGAAAAGAAGAAAAAGGACTAAGATGTGATATGTGTACGTGTATGTGACAACTCCTCAAGATGAATGTATTCATTATGCATTACAAACACGTACAAATAAAAAAGTGATTATATTCTCCAAATTAAAGTTACTGTCTTGATACCTTATACTATGGCACATTCCTTACTCCTATGAATCATAGAGAGTCTCTAAGAAAGCCTTGTTTGAATGCAATCACACTGGCTGCCAAATCCACAGCCCCGTGTCAGTGGCTCTAGACAACCACATCTTGTACCACATGCCTAATCTCTCATCTGCATCCACAGCCATAGCTGACTGGACCAGAGGTAGGTAGCTGACCCAGTCAACCCTTGGCTGGCCAATGAGTTTTGAGGTGACCTGACACAAAAACTTGTCAACTAGGAACAAACTGAGCTACTAACACTTCTGTCACATCACAGGGAAGGGATAAAGAACTTGCCTCTCTTCCTTCCTCAGTTCTTGACAGAAGAAATCAACCAAAACCCAAAAGCAGCCATGTAGAAGTACAGGTAGAATTTACTCTAAAAATGATGCATGAGAGAGTGTCATGAAGTCATCCACACAAAGTGCAAGTTTAGATATACTTTATACATTTTAAGCAGAAAATTTTCCATCTATGAAAACAATGGAGTGATGTTAACTTGGAAACCTCAGTACAGTAGGAGGGGTTCTTCGCCAGGGCGACCCATCAGAATCAGCCAGAAAAATCCCTCCTCATGGAAATGCTTGGGACACATCGCATCTACAGAATCAGAACCTCCAGGGTATTTAGATGCTGAAAAAGCTATGGTTAGGAGTCCCCCACTACAGCAGCTTCCCTCTCTTGAATTTCAGTGAGGTCCAGTATCTTCCTAATTGCCCTGCATACACATTGACAGTTAACCCTCCTACCTAGCTAAGTGGATTTCCATTCCTTCTAGGCAAGTATCTAACTAGTCACTAAAAGGAGAACTACAGAACAAAAAAAACCATTTTTTTTAAAGAAATTTTTTGTTGAGGCTGCTAAAGATAAACAAAAACTGCAGGAGATGAGTTTTCATATGGAGTAATCATCCACAGATACAGGATTGTTGCTGATTTTTCATCATAAAAGGGTCCTAAGGAGCTGGTTTTCTTTGAAGAGTTATTTATAATGTTTTTTAAGGAAGAGGAAATCCCCAAGAATATTTGCCTATAAATAAATGTATGTACATGCATTTCTCTTGACCTTTCTAGATATATAAAACTATTAATGAACAAATCCAATACCCTTGCCACAGAGAAGCAAGCTTATTCCTTTGCTATCACATGTGTTTATGTTTTGTCTCTCAGTTCATAGGGCTTTGCTGCCTTATTAGCTGGAATCGGGGGGAAGTATCTCAGACACCAAGGAAATCTGGGATGTTAATATTTCATTCAAACAAATCTCTCAAATCATTATTTCTGTAACTTATTTGTAAATTGTGACTCCAGGATACTAAGTGGTGCTTGGGTCTTCTGTGGTAGGAAATGAAAGAAATGTGAATATACAAAAGTGGTAGCATTAATCAACTCTTAATGAACAGTTTGTTCACTGTGAAGATAAATTATAATTAAAAGTGGGTGTATAATCAATATACAAAATAGTGCTATTGTAGAACTTGAAAATTAAAGTTACTGCATTATTAATGGTACTTGTATTTTTTGTAGGTTTTTAATAGTTATTTGTCATTCACCATTATTAAGACACACACTTAGTATAGTTTCTTTTAGCTTAAGGGTTCAAAAATCTTCCTTCCTTCCTTCCTTCCTTCCTTCCTTCCTTCCTTCCTTCCTTTCCTTCCTTCCTTCCTTGCCTCAACTTAGTTTCTCTGCTTTTGTATGCAGTAATGATTCTAACTCTAACATCCTTCCCTATTATTCTACTGCTTTAAAGTCCCAACAAACTTCACTTCTTCCATGAAAGTCCCTACAACTGCTGAAGAACAAATCATCATTTTTGCACCTGTATCTTTTATCATTTGCCCAAAACTTCCTCTATAATAGCCAGTATTCTAGTCAGCCTGTCTGCTAACAACATATCATTCTCTCAGTCACTAAGGTCACAAATGGTGGTTGACTTTTGACCATTTCATTTCATTTATCTTTTATTTCCTGCCATACAGTTCTGTGGATTTTTCTCCAAAAGTTCTTTTAACAGTGAAACTATGTTGTTTCCATGTATCCAGAATCCTTTTCTTTTTGAGGACAGGAAACAAATTTTCTTTCTTTCTTTTTTTTTTCCAGGGATTGAACTCGGGTCCTTGCGCTTTCGTAGCAGGCAGTGAAACCACTGAGCTAAATCCCCGGCCCACAAATTTTCTTTCTTATTTTGCTTTCCTATAGTATTTCTTAATGCCTAGCACAGGGACTTGAACTAAATAGATGTTATACATTTTGTCAAATAAATGAAAGAATGTTTGTGTACAATTGCTCACAATTTCTAATTCCCACCTGGTTATAGCTAATGGTACTCATTATTAACATGATTAACTGGAATGCAGTTTATGGCCAGAAGTTATTATTTTCACTGTGAATCTAACTAAAAAAAAAAATCAAATCTGTGATTTTGAATTGTAAGGTCTTGATCCAAATAAGACAGAACTATCCATAAACGAAACTATTGCAAAGGAATTGGTATCTTGAATCTAAAAGAAAATACATAAAACTCTATATGGAAGCCAGATGTGGTGGTGCACTTCTGTAATCCCAGCACTCTGGGAGGCGGAGGGAAGAGGATTCTAAGTTCAAGCCCAGCCTGGTCAACTTAGGAAGACCTTGTCTAAAAAAATCAAAAATTAAATGGGCTGGGAATATAGCTCAGTGCAAAGGCCTTGTGTTCAATTCCCAGTAATACACACACCAAACACCTCCGCCAAAAATTCTACTGTATCATGGATGACAGTGGTAGTTTTGAGAATAGTGTCAAATTAAGACAACTTACTACAGTTACCTAATCTTGATGCAAAAACTCAATTTTGAGAGGCAAACAGTTACCTAAATGATAAGACAACAAGTTGATCTTAAGACAGTTACATGTTTTTATTACACAAAATTACAACATTTCATGTGGGAGTTGGTCATCCACTTGCTGTTTTGACAAAATGTTAAATAAAATATCTATAGAAATTGTCTAAGAATGCTTTATGAAACAAACATTCCCCTAACCCCTCAAAAAAAAAGGCCTCATTGCCTACATTTCCCAACCAGAGTCCTGAGAAAAAATAATAGGTTTTGCTTATTTTTCACTGTAATACATACAGTTTCTTTTGAGATATAAAAAAGGGAAGACTTCTAAAATTCGAGACCCCTTTTGTTTACAAAGTTTTATAAAAATACATTAAGTTCATGTTTGTTCTTTGACTTAACATTCCAGTTTATCAGAAAACAAAAACAGTAACACACAAAGATGTGCAAACCATATTAATCTTGCAGCAATATAATGTCAACATCGTCATGAACACCTTGTAAAAGTAGCTCTCCGGGGTACGTAACAATCTTCCTTCGTTTGGCAGCTTTGAGGGTTCCTACCAATGCTTCAAAGAGGTTGGCACATTTGTCATCTCGAAAAAGGACCCCAAATTTCACGCTTAACTTTCCATCGGCATCTAATTGGAGAAAATACAATGTTAGCGAGAGCAAAGTCTGTTTCTTCACTCCACGTATGGTAAACTTACAAAATCTTTAATAAATAGCTGACTACAGGCTAACCAGTATGACAATTTAACACTTTGCCAAAACTTCAAGGTAGCCTCTTCCTACATCCAAGTGAGGAAATAAACACAATGTGTTTTAGGCCTCCTAGCTTTAGCATTATCTAGACAAGAACTGAAAGAGAACAAAGAAACACTTAGAAAAATGGATATGCTATGTGTGACGAATTTCTCTCGATTTTGATTTGTTTGTTTGTTTGTTCCTATTTCTGTTTCCTGAGATGAGTGACACTATGTGGTCCAGGCTCACCTTAAACTTGGTACGTACATAATAGCCCTGGCTGGACTTGAACTCACAATCTTCCTGCCTCAGGCTCCCAAGTTCTGGGATTAGAAGCATGCACTACCACACCTGACTCAAATTTTTTTAATTGTATTAAATCAATAAAGACAACAAATAAAAAGGAAACCCAGGATGAAGAGCAGTATATCTCTTAAGTGTGCTCTGAACACATTCAGAAGCCCCAGGATAGAGGGGGTGATTTAAAAAGGTATATTTGGGCCGAGGATTTAGCTCAGTGGTTCCAGTGCCTGCCGCACAAGCACAAGGACCCAAGTTCGATCCCTGGTACAAAAAAAAAATAAAAATAAATAAAATAAAATAAAAAGGTATATTTCTCAAGTCCTCTGAATCTAACTAAATTCTGGGTAGGACCAGGAATCTGCAATTAACAAGAACCCCAGGTTATCTTATTTGGAGGCCAGTTTTTAACACGAACACTGAAAATTAAGATGGACAAAAAGGAAACAAAAGGCAGTTAAAAATGGGAGCATGTAGCTATAAGTGAAACTGTTCAGTAGCCCCAGGCCTATTCTTCAAGTTCCCTGGGCTTCAGTTACTCAATCACCAAATTAAGGTGAGAATACCTTAGACAGGATGGTTGCATAGACTGATAGCTACTGTATACATAGGTAACACTGCTCATAGAGTGTCCAGCAAACAGTAAATTCTCAGGTTAGGTCAAATTTAAAAGCACCAAAGGCAGGAAACTGGGTCCAATCCTGGAGCTATCCTGTCCCCTCAGCTCTCAATCCTCAGACGTCCAGCTGATTTCACCTTCCTTGGGTCTTCTGCAGAGCTAAGCTAAACTCTCCTCTTCAATGGGTATTCATCCCCAGGTTGAGGCCCGAATTGTTTCCTACCTGGATAAGAGCAAACTGGTCATTAATATCTTACCAGCCTCCCTTTCCTCATTTTTGTCCTCTCATACATCATGCACACTGGTGTGGAATAAAAAATGTAGAAGAAATTGTGTAAGATGCACATCTGCATCTGACTGATACTCTTCTAACTTCAATGGCTCTCTACCACCTGCAAAATACAGTGAAGCCCATGATCTCATAGCCAAGGTGCCAGTCAAGCATCTACTGCTTCCTGGTCTTCTGCCTCAGCGCTCCACACACCTTACAATCTGGTCACAAGGAACTGCTTCCTATTGCCCAGGGTGCCACTGGAGACCCGCTTTCATAACTTTTGTCCATGTTGAGCTATGGCCGAGCATCCCAGACTCCTTTCCCTACTTAAATCATTTTTCTTCAAAAATGGACTCAAATGTCACCTTCTCAAGGACATCCTCCATGATTTCATCAGTTGCCATCTCTTCTTATAAAACTGAGTATATGTCTATCAAAGCATTTACCATTAATTATAGTAACAATGGATAACATTTATTGAGGACTTGCTATGTTCTTAGAACTGTTTAATGCATTTTGCCATCATTAAAACTCACTTAATCCTCATTTCATAGAGAAGATTCTATTGATTGCCAGAAGCACCATTATTTTATATTCCAAAGTGCCCATTTAACAATAGCAACCATGTATTAAGATGCATCCTTATTTTAGAGATTTTAAGATATGAAAAATGTATCTTTTTTTAATTGACAAAGTTGTATATATTTAAGATGTGCAGCATGATGTTTTGAAATATATACACATTGTCCAATTGTTAAATTGAGCTAATTAACATATACATTACCTACATCTTTTTGGGTGAGAACTCTAAAAGTTACTCTCATCAATTTTCAATTGAACTACTGGGATAGAGTATTATTATTGTTACACAAATAAGGAAATCAATAAACAAAAGTTTAGTAATGTGCCCAAGGACACAGAGCAAGTATGTAAAGAAGCTGTGACTCATTCCCAGAGAGGCTGACTCCACGGCCCATGTTCTTAACCACTTCCCAATGCTTCTAGTTTGTTTGTCTTCCAGCTACCTAAAGAACTCAAGGGCTGAGATGGAATTTGTTTATTTCTGCATCTCCTGCACCAGAGGACAAAGAGAGCACTCAAGAAATACTTGTTGGATGACAGAATTCAAATCACCAAATAATCATTCTCCACTTAATCTTTTCTCATAGAATGAAAAATGAGACTTTAAAAAATTTGACTTTAAAAGAAACAGGTAAGACTTCATCAATTTCCAGGTTGAGCTCATGCATCATATGTAGGTTAGTCAAAATTGCTCCAGACAGAACTTAAATAATTAACCATAACATGTCAAAAGATGACACATCTCTATATATGATTTCCAGCTCAGTAAGCCATCTTTCATCAAGAACAAGAAAGTCAAGGTATCTTGATAAAGCTGTAAAATTGCATGTGGAAGTGGTGTTGATATGTATCTCAAGTCTTCTAATTTGTTAAACTACTCATTTTGAAATAAGAGTTCCAATCTGTTGCAGTAGAATACAGACACACTCCCAGGGCTGTAAAGGTTAAAGTTTCACAACCACTTGAATCTGATCGATAAACACTAGGTTGACATGGGTAAGGAAATAAACCTTTGGAAATATACCTCTAACATCCAAAGAATGGTGCTACTCTCAAGTCACATGAGTTTACTGCATGCAGGAGAAACTAGGAATGTGAGAGAGGAGTAGGGTGTCACTAGTGTCAATAAGATTCACCAAACTCAAGTTACAAAATCAACAATACAAAAATCAATAGCTTTTCCATACACTAATAATGAACTAGCTGAGAAAGAACTCAGGAAAATAATTCCACTCACAATAGTTTCAAATGAATGAATGAATGAATGAATGAAATACCTAAGAAACTACTTAACCAAAAAGGTGAAAGACCTCTGCAACAAAAACTACAGAACAATGAACAAAGAAATAGGACAAGGCAATAGAAGATGGAAAGATCTCTTATGTCCACAGACTGACAGAATTAATATTGTTACAATGGCCATAATATCTAAAGTAATCTACAGACTCCATACAATCCCCATCAAACTTCCAATGACATTCTTTACAGAACTAGGGAAAACTATCCTAAATTCACAGAGAAACACAAAAGACCCTGAGTAGCTACAGTAATTCTAAGTAAAAAGAGCAAGGCTGGGGCATCACACTACTTGATTTCAAATTATACTACAAAGTCACAGTAACAGAAACAACATGGTACTGACACAAAAACAGACACACAGACAATGGAACAGAATAGAGGACACAGAAACAAACCCACACAAGTACAACCACCTGATTCTGGACAAAGGAGCCAAAAACATATGTTGGAGAGAAGACAGCCTCTTAAACAAATGGTCCTGGGGAAACTGGATATTCATACGTAAAAGAATGAAAATAGATCCCTGAGGAAAAGGAACATACCTATGTCACTTATACTTACACAGGGTTTAGCATTTGTAGATGTTCAACAATTATTAACTGATCATATGATTAAACTCACTTGATTGCTACATCCGCACCACTTCTATATGCCTCCTTTATCTTTTCCTAGTACATTTCATTAACATACTCAGATTTTCTGTAGAAATAATGTCACTAGAGAAGGCCAAAAAGGAAGTGAGGGCTGAGAGTGTGGCTCAATGGTAGAATACTTGCTTAGCATATTTGAGGCTTTATGTCTGATCTCCAGCACTATCAAATGGAAGAAGAAGAGAGGTTGAGAGGGAGAGATGCTCCCCAAAGATATTCTTGTCCTCATGTCCTAATCTCTAGGACTTATGAAGATGTTGCCTTCCATAGCAAAAGGAACTTTCCAGATGAGATTAATTTAAGGACCACAAAATGGAGAGATTATCCTGGATTACCTGGGTTGGCACAATGTAATCACAGGGTCCCTAAAAATGGAACAGGGAGGGACAAGAGGAGGTCACAGTCATTCAATGTGAGGACTCCACCAGCTGTTGCTGGCTTTGAAGATGAAGGAGGCCATGAGCCAGGGAATGCAGGCTGTCTCTGGAGCTGGAAAAAGGTAAGGAACTGGATTCTCCCCTAGAACCTCCAGAAAGGGATACAGCTTGCTAACATCTGGATCTTAATCCAGGAAGACCCTTATTGACTCCTGATATGAAATGTGGTAAGGGAACTGGGGATGTAGCTCTGTGGTAGAGTGCTTGTCTAGAAGGCTTGAGGGGTTTGATCCCTAGAATGATAAATGCACAAAGGAAGAAAGGAAAGGAGGGAGGAAAGGAAGGAAGGAAGGGAGGAAGGAAAGGAAGGAGGGAGGGAGGGAGGGAGGGAATGTGTTAGGATATCAAATTTATTGTTTTATGTTATTAAGTTTGTGGTAGTCTATTACAGCAGGAATAGAAGAACTAATACGAGGAACCTTAGAGATTAATGGTTTATTGAACTTTTCAGAATGTGCCCTGTTATTTCAAAAGATTTATGATTCACAAGCAAACAGGTTTAAGTGACATCAAGTTAAAGTGACAAAATAACTCTTAAAAGATAATTCTTAGAGCTATTTTTTACCTACGTGACGTAACTTTAAAACTCTGAATTCTATTATCCAAGTTGTTGCTGAATGTGTCTACTGTTCTTATTATTTTTAAAATGCTCCCCAAATGTTGCTTATATTGTGTAAGATGTGCCAAATAACTAACATTAACATAGTAACTCTCATTACAATGTAGGAAACGAGACTAATATTATCAATTTTGCATGTCACTATCTTCACAGTAACTGCATTGCGGTCAAAGAAAAAAAATGACAGAAAAGCAACATCTAAAAGATGGTGTATTTTAGTTATATGTTCATAATTGTACAAAATCCAAGAATTCAGAGAAAATAAAGACAATTTAGTATAATTTCAATCTAAGACCTTAGTCACTTGAAAGTTTGCAAAATGGTACCAGGATAAAGCAGAAAACATGAATTTTAATAGGGTAACAAATAAAAATTTGAATATGAGGGCTGGGGATTTAGCTCAGTAGTTCTGCTGCCTGCCTCGTAAGCACAACGTCCTGAGTTCAATCCCTAGTACCAAAAAAAAAATTTTTTTTAATATAATTAAATTACCAGGTTTTAATGCAACCAGATGAAAGAAGCTTCCCAGTTTTCTTTCTACACAAAAGATAATAAAACATCTCAACTATTCTTTGCCTCAGAAACCAGATGCTCCCACACAGCCCTGTGTCTTTAGGGTCCTTGGGCTGTAGGCAGAGTTGCCACCGTGTCCTGAAGCCGTGGGACTCCCCAGAATGCTGGTTCTGCCTACTAGGAGGAAAACTCTGAAGAAATACTCTATCTAGGCCAGGCGCAGTGCTGTGCACCTGTAATCTCAGTCACTCAGGATGCTGAGGCAGGAGGATGGCAAGTTTGAAGCCAGCCTGGGCAACTAAGTAAGACTCCATCTCAAAATAAAAATTTTTAAAGGGCTAGGGGGTTGGCTCAGTGGCTCTCAGTAGAGCACTTGCCTCATAGGTGTCAGGCCCTGGGTTCAACCTCAGCATTAGAAAGTAAGAAAGAGCCAGGCGTAGTGGCATGTGCTTGTAATCCCAGCACACAGGATGCTTACTTTTTGAACCCAGGCGATGAATTTCCTCCACTAAGAGGTTAACTTCATGATCCACGTTCATTATCACCTGAAAGAGAAAAAAGAAATCTCTATTATTGCCATTTCTATATTTCATCTAGCACATATGAAACTAAGGGTTGTTTTGTTTTGTTTTTCTTCATATAGCATTTGTCACTACCACTTACTATGTTCCTCTTCCTAAAAGCACCGTGTGATGTGGACAGCACTACAGCATTGCCTGTTCCCTCTGCTACCCCTACTCCTACTCTCCACATCCGCTTGGGAGAAGGCAGGCTTTGTCTTTGACCCCTGATACTCCACACGGGTCCTCTTCACAGTGCCCTCGTAGGCACCAAAATCACAAAAGGTGTGTGGCACAGGACCCACACTAGAGAGCAGAGAAAGGCCTAGAAGCAAGAGCAATGTGACAGACACTCTCTGAGGGGGGTCCAAGGCACTGTGGGGGCCACAGAAGGCTTAGTGGAGGTCACACGGGAAGAGTGGGCCACAGAGGCAAATGGGAAAGGGGATTCCACACATGGGAAGGGCACGTGCAGAATTATGGCAGCAAAGGAGCAAAAGCCTAACACCCTTGAGGCATCCCTGAATGAGGAGCTGGGGACCTCGAGATAAAGTGACATATTCCCTGCCCTTTGGGAGTCTGCGGTCCAATGGGGGAGAAGGATGGATTCAAGGGCAATTTAAATATCCTCAGGTCAGTGCAGGGATCACTTCTGGATCATATGCAGGAGCCAGAAAACCTGAGTGCAGCACAGAATTGTGGTGAAGGACAAGAAGGAGCCCAGGTTGAGAGAGGTTTCTCTTGGCTTGCTAGGTCCGCCACAGGCTGGGTTCTGCACAGAGATTCAGCCTTCACTCTACTCCCTCGGACTCTAGGCTGCGGCTACACAGGACATCATTGGACTCCTCAAATGCCCCTCTTACCTCCAGACTTCACCATGTTTCTTCAGCCCAGACTGCTATTCCTCTTTCTCCAGGGTAACTCACACATCCAGCCCCAGCATGGATTAACTTCCTCCAGGAAGCCTTCCCTGAAACCCTGGTCCAAGGGAGCTCCCCACCATTTGTTCCCTCAACACTGTGCCCCTCTTCATTTGACCCACACTAAAAGGTAAGCTCCCTTCTGCAGAGAGCTCTATGCTATCACATCTGGCACCAAGAGTACAGGTTAAGCAAATCCTGGTTCACAAAAAGACGAGAGAGGACAGAGTCATGCCTGTAGAAGTGTCAGAGAGCAAGAGCAACTGGACAGAACAGCCATCAGTTCTGTCTGTTTTTCTCTTTTCCTTTTTCTTTTATTTGAGACAGAGTCTTGCTAAATTGCTCACAATCCTCCTGCATCAGCCTCCAGTGTAGCTGGAATTATAGGCATGTGACATCACACCCAGCAGTCTGTTTTCAAAGCATACATTTTCCAAATCAAATAAAGGACTAAAAAAGCAGGGTCACAAGTCTGATTTCCTTAAGGTGACAATTTGGAAGAAACAACTTTATCCAGATGGATTATAACCAATTCCTGGTAGCTTTTAAAAACAAGAGTGACATCTATGACTGTATACCACCTGTTCAAATGATATTGACTGCGACACCAGATTTTCTCTGCTAATAATTAAAAGTGCTACTACCATCTGCTATGTTATCTGTGTGAGTATAATTTAAAGAACTTATATTGCAATAAAATGTACAACCTTCAGTTAAATACATCTACATAAAACTTATCAAAAATCATATTGTTCCAATACTGGGGACTTTGTGTTAACAAAATCAAACCTATAACAGCATATGTAGTTCAACATATAGTTTATAAAAACCCAAAATACACCCAGAGAACACAGCCACTATGCTGAAGCCTGAACGCCACAGCTTGAGAATATGTAATGGTAAGAAAAAGTCTGTTAAAGTCAGAGTGGGGCACAGCTGTTGTTTTTGCCTGCCCAGCACCCACTCCCCATTCTGGCAGGACCAATCTAATTTGTATATGGCTAGAGCAATGTCCTTTCTTACTCTAAACCCATGCACCTTGGGTAGAGCCTCACTTTAGGGTCCAGGAATGGTTCAGGGCCACAGTGATGGGGTCGAGGCATGAAGTAGGTGATTCCTTTTAGAGCAAACAAGTTCAGCCGCAATATTTTGCTAGAACTTCTAGTAAAAACAACATGCTTCCTCCACTGGGTTCTAAGATGTAAGTTCACAGCCCTGGTGTAAATGGCCAGCATGTGAGAAAAGCCCCACAGGAGTAAAGCCAAACACAAAGAATCCTTCTAACAATGACAGCCTGTGTAGACCCCAGACTTTCCAGCTAGATGAACCAATGTGATCTTTACTGTTTTTTCCCTCTAGATTTATTTACATTTCTATCACTCTAAAGACTCTTTACCCATGAATTTGGCTTTGAGAAGATTTGCTATTTTTTTTTAACTAAGATTCTTTTTAGGTACTTACATGAATAGTCTTATTTGTGATGCACTATTGGGCAGGATGGATAGATGAAATATGAAATTGGAGCTGCATGTGATGGCACAGGACTATAGTTCCAGCTCCTGGGCTGAGGCATGAGGATCGCAAGTTCAAAGCCACCTTGGGCAACTTAGTGAGACCCTATCTTTAAAAAAGGAGTGCGGGAGGAGGCTGAGGATGTAGCACAGAACTCCCTGGGTTCAATCTTCAGTACAAAAAAGAAATTAAAGATAGGATTGGGGAGCCATATTAAAAAATTCTCTAACAACCAAAACCACTTAATAATGAATGTAATGTGAACCTTGTTGCCAGCAGCATTAATGCAGATGTAGTTAAAGTATCTGAATGATGATGAAGAAATTAGCCTGCACTGGACAGGAGGGAAAATACAATGTCCAAGATCAAGAATTATTAAGGATCAGCTGTAGAATTTAGTCCAATACTTTTTCTCCAACTAGTGACAGGATCATATGGCTTTTTCCTTTCCTCTGTTTAAATGATGACTTTTGGGAGTGGATCTTCCAATCCTGAACCAACACTGCCATCCCTATAACAAAACCACTTTCTACATCCTGCCAGATCTGACTTCTAAGAGTTTGTTTTGTTAAACAAATTTCTATCTATGGTCATACTTTTTTCTTCTATTATGTTTATCCAGTTTTAGGATTAGAACAATGTTGAGTTCCTAAAAGGAGGGGAGAAGTGTTCCTTCTTTTTTCTGCTTTAATTATTTGATATAATTGATCAGTTAAAATGTTTATGAGCCTATTGTTGTCATATAGGTAGGTTTTCAAGCTAGGAATATACTTTCTTTAATAGGTGCTATTCAAATTTTATATTTCCTCCAGAGTTAGTTTCATTAATTTGTCTTCCAAGGTACTTCTTAGAAGTTGTCAAATTTATTTCAAAAAAGATTTTTGTAATATGCTTTCTATATCCTTTTAAATTCTGTAAAATCTGTGGTAATGTCTTCTAGATCTTAATATTGTAATTAAAAAAAGAATGTATAACTGATATTGTGTAACAGGAAGAAAAGGTCTAAAAGAGCAGGGGAATTGGGAGGGGTAGGGGAAGGGAAAAAAGGGAAAGGAAAAAATATGAGAAGAGGAAAAAAATGGAAACAAGGTCTTTGCAAATAGGGAAGGGAGGGCAAGGGAAGGGGAAAAAAAAATAAGAACCAAGAGACTCATGTAATGGTACAAGATCCCAATGATGAATGTAACTGTATTTTATACCGAAAATGTACCAATAAACTTAATGGGGGAAAAAAAAAAAGAATTGTTAAGGATCTCACCAATTCTCAGATTTTGATTTTCCCACCCAGAAAATGTATCTTTTCACCATTCCCCAGCTCCTTCCACTCACCACCAGCAACACCCTTGAGGCTGAGGAGAATCCAAGAGCAAATCCCTCTGTTATGTGCAGCACACATACTTCCATTATATAAAGGACACATACGTACACTCATCAGTTTTTAGAAGAGAAGGCAACCAATGTTTCTTTTATAATTAGGTTCCTTATCTAGGTTAATTTGTGCAGTTTTAAGTACCATGCAAAGGATTTATTATTTATCCCATTTTATGGATAATGAAACAGGCTCAGTGGGGTTAACGCCTCAAAAATTTAAACGCTGTTTCTAACATCATTCTCACTCTTCCTCTCCCTCTCCCTCTCTTCTTTTGCTGTTATGCAAATGCACTTAATATAATAGTGCACTTGTATGAAATAGCACACGCTGAGTACTTACTAAGGTAGATCATTTACAAAGCAAGAAAGGCTCCCTTCCTAGATTCCTATAAGTAGGAAAATAACAGGCTCTGATACTACCTCTGGCATGTATAATTTGGCATGTTTATTCATTTATTTTATTATTGGAGGGGGGACAAAGAAGCAAGATGTTCATTGTTACATGGGCCTTGGAAAGCCCATGACATTTTACAGTGACAAAAGCCTGGGACTGGAGTGAGCAAGGAGATGAAGGACAATGAGAGGCCCTAAGCAGAGCAAGGCTAAGGGGGAGAAAGCACGTGTCAACGAGAGGCTGGCCCAGAAAAAAGGAAGGTGACAGCAGATGCTAGTCAGGCCTTGTGTCACAGAATCTATTAGGCTTTTCAGTGGGACTCACAAAGAAAGCAGAGGCAGGAGGGCTACAGCATATGCTGAAAGGCCCCATCAATATACTCTTAGAAATGTATGTAAGAACCCTCTTATATTTGTTTTCTTTTTCAAGTTTGGAGGCAATACATGGAGATTTTCTACCTACCCGAGTGAGGGTCCTGGGAATCAAAAGCCAACTTTACGCCCTGGGGCAGGATATCTTCTCAGCCCCCCACTCCCGCCCTGCAACCACGAACAGCTGGCGCAGGTCAAAGGAGAACTGGGTTCCTTCCTCCCTCGCCGGGGCGAGCACACTCCATATTTGGTAATCGCTCCTGCAAGTCTGGGATCCTGCCAAGTGAAGGTACCCAAACCCTCTCCCCTACAGGCCATCACATGATTGATCTCCAGTGGCGCGGCTGCAAAGTTGAGGAGCACCCGAATCGGCCCCGTTCTGGTGCAGCGCAGGGCGCTCGCGGGCAGGGCTGGATCCTGGAAGCCTTTGTCTCGGGGATTCCGCGGCCAGCGCAGCCGCCCCGGCTCCCCCACGGCCCGGCGCGCCCGGGAAACGAGCGCCCGGAGCACACCGCGAGAGGGAACCCGGCCAGGGCTCCGGGAGCCGCTCCCGTCCCACTCCCTAGACCCCATCTGCGCGGGGAGCCGCACCCACCTCCCGCAAGGCACAAGGCACTGCCCCATGGCCACCAAATTCCTCGGGGCAGCCGCTCCCTTGCCCCCCGCCCTCCCTCATTCCCAGCTCTGCAGATCTGGAACCCAGCGAGCGTCAAGCGCGAAACCCACAAGTCAAGCGCGAAACCCACACGTTGCACCGCGGTGAAAATCGTTGCCTAGATGCTCGCTTCCCCAGTTCGCCCCCGGCCGGCAAAACGTCACGCGAGCCGGGTACGGAAGTCCGCGGAGAGGTGCGGGAGTGGGCGGAGCGCGGCCCCCGGCCCCTCCCGGCCGTCCCAGCCCCGCCAACTCGTCACCTCCGTGCTCCCGGCCCCCTGGCGGTCCCGGTGCTCACCCGCAGCCCCCGAGGCCCCCCCGCTGCTTGACCTCCGCGAGGCGCTCCTGTCCCTTCCGTCCTTCCGACCTGGCCACCGGGGGACTCACCTCTTGGCGTCGTTTTCTCGACCAGTAAAGAGCTGGGGGCGCGTCGGGCCGGGTGTCCGCTGCGTACCGAGGAGGCAAAGGCTGAAGAGGGAAGTGGCCGAGGCAAAGATAAAGGCTGCCGCGGAGGAGGAGGCAGGGGAGGAGGCGGCAGGGGAGGAGGAGCAGGGCGGGGGGAAGTAAGAGTTTCAGCGCTAGGGAGAGGGGCCGCCCACTCTGCGGGACCAGCCTGTGAGCCGGGAACTCCGGGAAGGCGGCGCCGACAGGAGGCAGGCTCCGGACAGGTGGCGGCGCCCGGGCTTCGGGAATGCGGACCTAGGGCCTCGGTGACGTCCCCTTTCCTGCCTTCTGGGACACCTCATCCGCAGCCCCCTGCAGTAGATCCTGGCCGGTGACTTCTCGCTAGGATTTCTCTCCCCAAAACGGAACCAAGGCGCCCCCAACGTGCTAAATCCTAAGGTCTCCTAGGAACACCGCGACCCACAGCGCTCCTGCGAGCCGGGACCGGGAGCCTCCAGAAAACCAGGACCAGGGACTCGAAAATGGTCTGATTTGCAAAACAAAATGCGGTCTTGAAGATCGACTTGTTCTACTGCCAAGACATTTCACACGGGCAAAGTTAGTTCATGATCCTGGGTCAGTACAGGTTCTATCCCTTCATTATTTCCTATATCTAAATCTAATTTATTCATCCTCCCTTTTTAAAATGTGCGAGAAGGAGGCGCGCTTTTTGTACCGCGTTTTGGGAAGGAGAGCCGACCCGAACTATCCCTAGAGCATAGATTGCACGAATAACTCCACCAAGAGTCCGCTCCACACCCGCGGCGGCCCGGATTGAGTGATCACGTGACCCGGATGCGTAAAGTCCATAAAGTGGCCATTGAAGTAACCTCGAACGAGCTGCTCAAACCGGACTCGGGGGTGATTAGTAATTATCTAACAACTGTCCGATGAAACTGATCATTAGTAAACCAATCGAAGTCTCCTTTGGAAAATGAAAGCGGGGGCGGGGGGTTGGAGAGAAAGAGCTATCTGGTAGAAAGGTTGATTCTGAGAAAGGGAAAGATGTAAGGGGCCAAGACAGGTTTCCAGTGAACAGAAACTAGGAGGAAGTGGAACTTTTGAGGGGGTCAGAGAGGGAAAAGCCAGGGCTAACAGCAGCTAGGGCGATGATGGACAGGGCAACAAAGGCCTCCTTCCCAAGGGTGTGTGGGTATCCAGGTCTTCAAGGCTGTCCTGGATCCGTCCACTTCCCAAGCTGCGGTCCAGTGAGCCTTTAGAGTCAACACATGACAAGTGGGTGTGACTCGGAATGAATCTGCTCTGTCATCTTCAACACCTGGGAATCGCCCAAGTTTCTCGTGTCAGATGAAGTTTAAAGTGATTCCAAGATCCTGAGACCGTTTTTTTCCTCACCAAGAGAGAGCTGAGACATTAGACTTTATCTGTACCTTATCTTTCAAAGTTTGCATAATGCAAAAATTACAATTTAAGAAAAATACCGTATCTGACAATCCCCTAAGCAAGGCCTAGTTTTCTGCTTGAGTCAAATACCACAATTTGTCAGCTGCAAGGGAAGTGAATAAGGAATGGCACTGTAGTGTGTCACTTCTGTTATGACTAAGCAATTCGTGTCTCCCAGTACTCTCCCAGTCAGAAAAAAATTAAATAATTACCTAAACAAAAGTCTTTGTTGACAAAAAATGAAGGAGCTCTTTTAAAATGTTATTTACATGTATTCTACACAAACCATAACAAACTTCATATTAATCTACAGTATAAGGAATTATAATTCAAGAAAGTTTTTCATTGATCAAAGAAATGTCACCAAGTAATTATTTTGAATATCCAGTTTCTACTCTTTCAGTTTCTATTCACACTTTTGTTATCTTTTCTTGTTTTCTTAGGAATATTGTCATGTACAATGTAAACATTGTGGAAGTTTAACCTAAAAAGCAAATGATGAAGTTTGTCAAATAAGAAATATGTATTAAATAGGGGGCCAGGGATTTAGCTCAGTGGTTCCACCGTCTGCCTCGAAAGTGCAAGGTCTAGAGTTCGATCCCCAGTACCAAAAAAAAAAAAAAAAAAAGAAATTGAGAATTATCAGGGGTAAAAGAATGAGGGCCAGGGATTTAGCTCAGTGGTTCCACCGTCTGCCTCGAAAGTGCAAGGTCTAGAGTTCGATCCCCAGTACCAAAAAAAAAAAAAAAAAAAAGCAAGAAATACGTATTAAACAGAAAGGATGTGCTAGAAGCAATGTACCTATCTTGAAATGTACAAGTAGCCTAAAGCATGATCTTTGTTAAAAAGAACTTCTGAGTTCGATCCCCCATACAAAAAAAAACCTGGTAATGTATGTATAAAATATTTTAAAATATTTATTCCTTTATTTAATTACATACTGTAGACTAGCACTGAGTGATAGAAATATAATTGTGAGTCAAATATGTAATTTAAAATTTTCTAGTAGCCACATTAAAAAAGAAAGACAAGATCTTGGATTGCTGAGGCTGAGGACTGACTTGGGTTCTGAGAGACTCCCAGACTACAGTGTTGAAAGGACCTAAACAAAGTCTGCTCAAACCTCCTGCTGTGAACCAGTAGAACTTTTGAACAGGTTTCTCCCTGTACAAAAAAAATCTTTGTGAAATACGGAGAAAAATGGCAGCGGAAACACAGACACTGAACTTTGGGCCTGAATGATGTGTTTGGACCCTGAATATGGAATTCTTATGGAATTTTGAGCTCCATCACATTGTAGTGTGACTTCCCCTCCTCTTCTTCCTTTTCCCCAGAAGTTGGTTATTGAAGATCCTCTCTTCAGTGGCGTGAATAATGATAGTTACTTTTTCCATTCATTCCTCAAACAACCTCTTTGGTAATGTCAGAGGTAGTACCTAAAATAGATAAACTCAATTAGTGCCTTAAACATTCTTGATTATTCATTTGGTGGTAGTTTGATAAGACTTCCTGTAATAGATCCCTGTTTGAAGACTCTTATTAGCTTACCCTATTACATACATACCTTTTTATATATAATTCCGTTCTTAACCTTTACTGCTAACTTTTGGAGACTGACAAGAAATCACTTTGCAGATCTGAGAACTGATGCAACTCCTATATAAGAGTTTGTTTTAAAAATGTTAACCTCAATAATGCAACACCTGTCTTAGTTATTTTATGTTTAAATTTTTTTTCCTAATTACCAACTCAATATATGTTTCTAGAAAAATTAGAGGTTATTTGAGTGAGAGGAAGATACAGTTGCCACTATTTTACCAACCACTGTAACTGTCTTGGTGTATCTTTCCAAATGGTTTCATATATCTTATTTGTGTATATATACATGTATTTTAACAAAAATGGAATGATATTGTACATTCAATTTTGTAATCTTTTAAAAAAACTAAATCAGAAACAACTTTTTATCAATAAATATTTTCTGTCCTACTAAAAAAAAAAGGAAAGACAAAATTAATTTTAATGATATACTTTATTTAACCCAGATCCAAAATTCTGTCACTTCAACCTGTAGTGAATATTTTAAAATTATTAATGATATCATATACGTTCTTCATTTTAAGTCTTGGAAATCTATTATGTACTTTACATTTTCAGCACATTTCAGGTGTTTTAATAACCTTATATGGCTAGTGGATATGGTACTTGACAGGATTGTTAAAGACAATCCCAGGATAAAGCATGACATTATTTGTTAATTTATTTTTTAAATTACATGTTTGTGGAATGAGAAAAAGAAGTAATCATTTTAAAAATGTAGTTGTCTCCATTATAATGAGTGGGGGAAAAAATCTTGTAAAGGATTCCTAGGAATGGCAATTCCATCCTAGATGTATATTCAACAGAAAAGAAACATATGGTCACCAAGATACATGTACAAGAGTACTCACGACAGCACTGTTCATAACATTCCTAAACCAGAGCTCCTCAAGTGCCCAATACTATTATAATGGATCAGTAAATCATGGCATATTTGTATAATATGACATTATGAACCAAAGAAAATGAGCGTCCAACAACTACATGCAACAACATGATGAATCTCACAAATACAGTATAGAATGGAATGAGTCTATTATTCCTTTTGTATAAAGTTTTAAAATCTGGCCAAACTAATCTGTGGTGCTAGAAGTTAGGAGAATAGTTATCCCTGTTGGGTAATAGAGGGCAGTGACAAAGGTGGGACACAATGGGGGGCCTGAGGTGCTGCAATGTTTTGCAGCTTTATCTGTGAACTGGTTACATGGGTGTTTTACTTTTCCAAATTCTTTAACTTGAACACTTAAATACAAATACACATCTCCTTGGCCTCTGATAGGATTATGTCCCAATAAACATAAGTCGAAAATATCATGTCCAAGATGCATCTGAAACACCTACCTTCCTAAACACCATAGCTTAGCTAAATCATCCTTAAATGTGTTTAGAACACTTAAATTGGCTTACATTTGAGCAAAATCCTTTACAAAGCCCATTTTAGAATAACATGTCATCTTTTGTGATTTACTGAAAACTGTATTGAAAGTGAAAAACAGAGTGATTAGACAAATATGCTTTCACACTGTAAGTCCACCAACGTAAGTCAGGGACTGTATTTTCTTTCTTTTTTTTTTTTTTTATTAAATTCTTCTATTGGTCCATTGTAGGTATATAACACAATTACATTTCTCATTGGGAATTGTATCTTTACATAATGCATCTTGCTTCTTATTTTTTCCCCATTCCTAGCCCTCCCTTCACACCCTCCACCCTTCCCTATTTACAAAGACTTTATTTCCATTTTTTCCATTTCTCATCATTTGTCCTTTCCCTTCTTTCCTTTCCCCTGCCCCTCCCACTACCCCTACCCCTTTGGACCTTTTATTCCTATTTTACATTATCAATTATTCATTCTAATCATTGGTACATTTTAGGTATACAATATAATGACATTCATCATTGGAAATTTGCACCTTTATGTAGTCTCTCTTGGGTCTTATTTTTCACCCTTGCCCAGCCCTCCCTTCAACCCCTCCAGTCCTCCCTATTTACAAAGATTTTGTTCCTATTTTTCCATTTTCTCATACTAATCCCATTCCCTTCTATCCTTTCCTCTAGCCCTCCCACTTCCTTCCCCTTTGCCCCTTTTCTTCCTATTTCACATTACCTATTATACA